GAGAGAAATCAAGAATTATTGCTTAATTTCTGGGTTTAGTAATTAGATGGAATGTGGTGCCATATTTTAAGATAGGGAAGCCTGGGGAGTGGAATTTGTTTTCTGTCCATAGAGAGTAGTGTTTTATATAGCCAGAGAAAAATTGAACAGTTATATTATTATGGAAAGCTGAGAGGAAATGTATTACATGTTGATATATGTTCTCCCAGTCAAATGGCAGTAAATCTTTTGATTTTCCCTCTCCCCGATGTGTTCCAGAATCTTAAGTAAAATCTGCCTATTCTCCTAAATCACTGCCGTAGCAAAATGACAACAAAAGAAAGGAACAAGAGATAAAGAAAATCTTTCTACATCCCATGCTGAATTCAGTGGTCTTTATTTCAGTTTAGACAGATTACTTATGATTTCTCTCCTAATTCCTACGTGTTAAAAATATAATTTCTGACTCTGTGTGTGTGTATGTGTGTGTGTGTGTTTTAAATATAATTTCATTACAGCAAGAAAAGTTTACATGACCTATAGCATTTGCTGTAAAGTGTTTTAATCTGAGGTCACAGGAAGTCAGATATTTAGTTGAAAATAAAAGAGTAAATGAATTAAGAATGTCTTAGGTCCCTGTGTATCCAATCTTCTTGGTTTTTGTGAAGGATAAATGAGAACTATGTCTTGGAAGGTAAAACAAAAAAGTGAAATGTTGTAACTATAAAACAGTTTGTAATAAAGTGGTGAGCAATGGCTATCCTTTAAATGGATATTCAGAGTGTGTGTTATTACAGAAGGTTTCATATCCCCATAGGAGGTAGAGTTAGAAAGGAAGTTTGACCAGTACTGAATCAAGATAGAAGGTGATGACAAATCTGGTGAAAGAAAACAGTATGAACAAAGCTAAATACATGTGTATGAGTTGGGGGGAGCAGAAAGCACCTTATATATTGGGCATGATAGATAGATACAGATATATAGTGAGCAGTCAGAGTTGCGGAGAGTAATGACAAGATTAACTTGAACCAGGAATTGCTTCTGAATTTTAATTTTCCTTCATAATTCATACTTTTTCATAGTTCAACTCCTTCATAATTTTATACCAATGTCACCTGCCTACCTAAATGGTATGTGGCTCACATGTACCCTAGAATTTTGAACATTTCTAGATCTATACTTAATTATATTTGCATACTTAACTCTTCCTTTCTTTTTTCTTTGTTTAAGTTGCTCATTAGGCCACAGTGATATGGAGGGAGCTGGCTTTCATTATATAATGAAATGTATATAAATTCTACAAAATTTATACTTTCACTTGTTTTTAAATATGATAGGTAATAGCCTCTCAGGTAAACTTTTTAAAAACTTAAACAGCTACACACACACATGTACACATCCTAAAAGGTTGTTCCAAGTCATGAATAGATAATAGTTTAAGGGCACTAAAATAGCTTCTGCTTTGAAAATAAGAGTTTTAGGGTTTTTGTTTTTTGTTTTTTGTTTTTTTTGGTATGTGTGTGTGCGTTCTAGATTCCTTTTAGGCAGAACCTTATGTTTTTCAGTAAGCTCTTCCTGTTGCATGCTGCTTTTGTTCTATATCCATTTATATATTCATTTGACCATTTTACAAATAAATACCTGCAGAAAAAATTAGATGACTCAAGGAATGCAATAGTTATAAAAATAATGACTATATTAGTTTTCCTATCTGGGTATTGTGATTAGTTAAGTTACAGAGCTACATACTGAGTCACAAATAGGGCTAAGCTAAAATCAGAGTTTTTTAGTTCTTTGTTTAATGTTTAAACAACTAGAATGTAGTGAGTAGCACATAGCTTCTTCTTATATCATTTTGCTAAAACTAAAGAGAATAGAACATCTTTGCTTTTTAATCTGTTGTAGATAGCAAACAAAACTCTAAGATATATTTGATATATTCTATACAAGTCTTCTTCATCCTTAGCATTTTACTTTAGAAATTGTTTTTAAAATTTCTCCGTACCTGCCGTGTGATTCCTAACCCTTGCTAACACTGCCAGTTCTCTGTATCCTCACTTTTTATTTTGATTGTCACTTAGTCCTCTGATTTTCTCACTGCTATTTTTACTCTTTTTCTCCACTATATCTTACTGTCTAGTGCCATTCTAGTAATATTTCTAAAATATTATTCTAAAATAGTGCTTTAATAGCTTCTCTCTGGTCGTGAACTAACAATGGTTTCTGGTTACCTTTCATTTCAAGTTCAGATCAGTCCTCTGTAGGCCGTTCTCACTCAACCTCTCCATTATACATTCTCTCTTTGATCTAGAGATCGTGCAGTGCTGTAAGAGGAGTCCTCCATCATTTTTTTAAGCTGTTTTTCTGGTCTAGATAGCCTTTGCTCATTCTTGAATGTTTAAATCGCACTACTCTTTAAAGCATCGTGTACTTTTCTATGAAGTAAACACAGTCAACATTGGTCTGTCAACTTAATGTCTTAAACAGGAGCCTTTGGTTACAAGTAATAGAACTAGCTTAAGCTAGTTTAAGCTAGTGTAAATTGAAATGTGGGAATTATTTTAAGGATACAGGATTTCTTAGAATTCAGGGTCAGGAATATGCAGGCAGGCCTCAGTAAAGACTTTGGTAGTGACATTGCCCTGTTGGTTTCAATCAGGGGATCTGGAAGAGCTGATGATTTTCTCTTTGTTAAGTTTTTGTTTGTTTGTTTTGCTATGCCATGGTATCATTCCTTTCAAAAAAATGAACCTGTTTTCAATAGTGGTTTGGAGGATAGCTTTTATAGAGCTGTTGGTGTTTATATAAACATATAGGACCTTTACTCCTGATATAAAAATAAGGATCTTTCCTCTTAATTTAAAAATGTATTGTCTTAATCTGCAATTTCCTTTTTTAAAAACTAAAATCAATAAATATCTTTCTAAGTCAATTCAATAGATATCTCTTTATAATGTTTTCATGTGGATGTTTTATAATTTACTTAATCATTTTCCTATTCATAGATATTTAAATGATATATATCTATATGTTGTGCTTTTATTTTTATGATAGATTGTAAAAAGAGATTAAGAATATACTTAGAAAATGTGAAAGAAATTGTTTATTTTCAAGGAAAATATAAAATGCCAAAAGTGACTCAGGCAAACCTAAAGAGCCCAGAAACCAGGCTCCCTGTGGTGTTGGTGCAGTTTATGAAATTTTAAAAAGTGGGTAATTCTCATGGTTAGTGAACTATTGTTAGGTTTAGTCGACATAAGCTTAACTCTATAAAATTGCTGTAATAGTTTCTAAATGCTTACTCTCAGTTTCTATACATATCTAGTCATGGATTGGTGACAAACAGTTCATGGACTATCAGTAGTCCATACTTATAGTAGCATAATTTTAGCCTACGAGCCAACCTAGAAGGAGAATTAGGGGATGTGGGGTAAGGTTTGTGTCTTGTATATATATGGTCATTTAATACTCTCGCTTTTGGTGTGGTACCTACTCTCTCAACTGGGTCTGGTATCCCCTATTTCAGAGATCCTGTTTTACTTTCCACAAAGAATAAACCTCCAGACTTCTACTGCAGTGGTGGAACAGTAGTTACCTAGCATTATGGAATAGGGAAGGGAATCAAAACCAAAACTGAAGCACCTTTCTCCAAGTTTTTCTTTATCTTAGTTTCCTCCTCCTCTCCCATTTCAGTTCTTGGTGCTGTCAGTTGCTAATCCTTTTTGAAGATTCAGAGTATAAAATGAGTTAGTTCTTAGCTTTACCCACTGCCTGGGATTGTTTTCTTGGATCTTCAAGGTTATTTATTACTTATATATCTGCTTTCCAGCATCTAGAATTTTGTTACTATTGTCACTTCTCCTGTTTCACATTGTTAATTTTTCTTTAAGTGTTTCTTATATATTTGTCATTTTGCAAATGTTACCCTTTCCAATCTTTTCTGCTTTCTTAACTATATTAACAAAATATTTACATTTATTTCTATTTTGTAGGTTTTATTGCTGATAGATATTTCTTCTATCTCACTTTTTTTTGGGGGGGGGGGTTCTTTTTTTTCCTGATTGAAATTTGATTTTGTTGAAGTATTTACTTAAAATTTTTTTCCAGAAAAAGTATATATGTAATCTATTCTCTGACTCTTTACATATCTAAAATTGCATTTTCCTCTCACATATATGAGTTTTTCTGTGTATAGAGTTAATTCTTGGGTTAATTCTTTTCCTTTACAACTCTAGCATAGAATTATGAGTAAAATGTCTGATTAGTATTGCTGTCTGATTAAAATTGGTGTTGCTGATGAAAATTCGAATACCTTTTTAGGTAACACTTGTCCATCTTTTTCTTTTTTGGTAGCATTTCATTTTTATCTTTTAAACTAAAAAATTTTACAGATAAGTTACAGATACTGTGTTTTATATCCCCCCACTAATAATCTTGCCAGGCATTTGGGAAGCCTTTAATTTTGAAAAGCCAAGGGTCAACAAAACAAAAACTCAGTGTAATTTTTTTTCTCGTTTTCAAAATCATTATTTCTCCCCCGTCTACTTTCTTTTCTCTTTCACGGTAGTTCTTTTTTTTTTTTCTTTCTCAGTGTATTATCTCAAGTCTTAATGAGATTGCCAATTACTACTCGATTTTTTTTTTTTTAAAGCTTTCACCTTTTTCATTGTTACTTTTTTTTTTTTGCCACTTTTTTCTCGCTTTTTTTTTTTTTTTTAAAGCTTTCACCTTTTTCATTGTTCTTTTTTTTTTTTTTTTTACTGCTGGCTAGCAGAATAAAAGCAAGATTTCTCTGAGTGTTCAGATTATTTACCTTTTTTTGAGTAACTGCGTTCAGTGATGTTTCTGCCTACTTACCTTTTTTGATGGCATTGGTAGTTGAGATGAATTCTTAAAAAATAAACCAAGATTTTGTTTTTTTAGTTAGATGGAAGGGGATAGGAAGTTAATGTAATGATTTTCTGACAGCTAGGAGATAATTCTGTGGAGAAAGGACAGAACTCTTAAACAGAAGAAGGTAGCCAGGGATAAAGGAAGATTTTTCTTTGCTCAAAAATAATTTCTTCTTCACATCTCTCCTGACAGCTGGTGCTAGCAACTCCCAGTTTTCTTTAGCCCGTGGACCCACATCAAAGCTTCGGATTCATCCTCCTCCCCATACCTCAGTTGCACCCTTCTGTCACCCAGAGGGCTCCACACAGTCTTCCTCTCAAGCCCACACTTTCTCTCTCAAGGTATGTTTACAGGAGGGAGTGGGTGGAATTATGTTACCCATTCCTTACTCGGGGCAAAATTAATAGATACTCATTGAATGTTGATTGAATAATAGTTGTCCTCTTTTAAAGTGGTGCTTGACAGTCGGCCAATATTTATTTTCACTCCTCTCTCTGGACTGTTTCCTACCAGATACCTTACAGTATGTGTATGGAATGTTTTTATAGTTTCTAGACATTTTGTAGGATTTTCTTGTGTTTTTTTGGTTTGTGTTTCACTGAGCAGTTGGGAGAGGAAGAAATCAAATGGCTTAAGTTCCCATCTTGATGCAGGAAACTCTCCAGGTTATTTTAAAGGGCAAGTCATACTTTATACAAATAGTATTGTTTCAAGGCTTAATGAGATGTTGGTCAAGTTTTATGAGGAAATAATACATATATAGTAGGCAGTAGTTTAAATAGGAGGTTTAAAATCAGTAATCCTTATTGGCAGGGTAGAAATAAGACTTTAGTGAAAAGATTAGCTAATGGGTTGGAAGATTAAAACTATAATAAAATTTCTCTGTTTTTTTAATGTTATCTGAGATGTTCACAACATGCAATAAAGTTTTCCCCAAAGACCCTAATATAATTTGCTACCAGGTATCATCTTTGATCGCTTCCACATACTACAGGTTGAACATAGTTGAAGACAAAACAGATTCTCCAGATATATAATTTGAGTGCTATAAACCCCAAACTACCTAAATATACAACTCCCCTCATACTGTATTGTATATGCCATACATTAAATATAAAAAATGTTGACATTTAACATTAATTAGTAGTTATTAAACTTAAGTAAAAGCTAAGTGGATTTCTTAATAAGTTGATTTATTTTATCAGCTTTGTTTTGTCTGTGAGGAGAGAGCATACATTTTAATGGGTAAACTTCGTGGCATCTGGTTTGGCTGCCATGCATCCTACTTAGTTATTTTATATTCTTTATGTACTGGAAGGGTGAGGTCCCTGGAAGGTCAACTCTGAATAAGCAACATGTTAATATATATATGTCTTTCTTTCTCCTTACAATCTAAAATTGTAAGCTGTAGTAGGGGTAGGACCATGTTTTTGAATCTCTCCATGGTACCCATTATAATGCCTCATGTTCATAACACATTTGTTAGTGTCAGTTTATTGAGTTATTTAAAACCGTATTTTTATATTGATTGTCAGACTTTGGGATATGTGCTTTCTTATATGAAAATATTTAAATTGTGTATTTTGAAATGGAATTAATGGTATTTAGAAATACTACCAAATCTGTAATTTTTTAGCATTACACACATATTTTTGGACACATATAATATTACTGTAAGAAGCAATTTACCTTTTGAAACCCACGATATAGTCTCCTCTTAATTATATGCAATAATAAAAAGCTTGGTGTGTATAATCCAGAATGACCACAACATGGTATTCTGGCAAATGGAGAAAAACCATTACTGTGTGTGCTTAAAAAGTTTCACGTTTGAACCCCACTCTCAGATTTTGGTTATGGTAAAAACTCCATATGTGATTATGCTAGTTGTCACTGTTGAGAATGTGACAATCTTTAGGGAATCTTCTTGGTTGATGTGTAGTGCCCACCAGGTATCATTGAATTTTTTTCTCATTATTATTTTTCTTACTTTTGAAGGAAAAGTTTTTACATTTAGTTTTAAATAATATAGTAAAAAAGTTAAAGTAAAAACAATATTTTAGTGTATTAGGTATAGTATGTAAAAAAATTCAGAAAACTGATATCTTTCTAATGAATTTTACTGTCAGTTTAGCATATATATATTTGAAGAATATTGAAGAAAGTGTTCTTTTCGACCCTACCAAAAGTATTAAGCTTGAGAAATATTAAAATGTCCTTTTAATATATAAAGCAATGTAACATTTAATTATATTCTCTCAATAAAGGATTTCTAAAACAGTGAAATTCCTAGTTATTTAGATTAATTGAAATTTAAACCTAAGACCTTAGGGTAGACATAGATGAAGCTTAATGTGATTTGCACTTTATTTCCTTTAGCTTATCTAATTTTATCTTTTTCATATACATATTTGAAACCATGAAAGTGAGAAAATATAATTCTTCTAATATACAATTTGATATTTTTACTATTGTCTCAGCAGTATATTGTCACATCTTATTACTTTACAGTTTTTGATTTCTCTGCAATTTGAATTGTATTGCCTCATACATGGTAATCACATGTAGTAATGATGGTAGCTGCGATTTATTTAGCAATTTATGTGATATTGTTACATATATTTTCTAATTTAACCTTCACAGCAATCCCATGAGAAAGGTAGGGGAAGTACTAATTTTTTTTTTTTTTTTCATTTTATAGATGAAGAAACTAAGACACAGAGAATGACACTTGTCTAGATAACATAAATCAGTAAGTGTTTGAATTAATGGAGGCAGATAGTATTGGGTACATTCTAATCTGCCAAGGACTTCCATTGCTGCCATCTGCCTGAGTTCTAGGGACAAAAAGCCAAGTAGCCAAAATGGTAGGGAACCAGAAAGGTAGACTTGAGTACCCCAGGAAAATATGCTCTTCCTTTTAATTTCTTCTTTTTTGTTCCCTTTTTTTTTTTTCCCAGTTAGTAATGAAAAGTTAAGAGAAGAGATAATGTCTTTGTCATGTTGTTAAATGAATGAAACTTTTATTTTAAATATAAATTATCCCTGAGACACTAGCAAAGTAGAAAACCTAGAGAGAAGTTTGTTGAAATTTTTACAAGGCAATAGCTATAGGGTCAACTAAGGAAGTGAGAAAGTTAATGGTACATGTGTGTAATTGGAATTTAAGTGTTTAAGGCTGTCTTGTTAAGATTTGAAAAATCCTGTTAAACAACTATAGCATCAACTTAATATAAAAAACCTTAGAGCTTAAGGGTGCTTATCCAGTTGTGATTTTCTTTAGATGAAGAAACTGAGGTGCAGAGCAGTCGAAGCTTGCCCAGTGCCACCAAGCAGAGCTGGAAGTAAAGCTTATATCCTCTGACTTCCAGATTAGGGTTATTTCTTCTTCAAACTATTGCTTCTTGGTAAGCTGTTATTACAGTACTTAACAAATATTTTATTGTGTCTTTTATTTTGAGCAACATTCCTACATTTTGTTAAAATAACTTTAAAAAGTGAAATTTGCGATACTTTTGTGATGAAAATTTCAATTCTTTGTTTGGTTTTAGGTGAGTTAATGTGGGAAAAATCCTGGTATTTTGAAGATGTCTCAGCGCAGTATTGTTTCCTGTTTAAATTACAAGTAATTTCAAGAGTTTTGAGAAAAAAAGGAAATTGGGATTTTTTTTGTTGTTAAATCATGCCATCTGATCAGAAACAGTTATTTTTTGATGAAAAACAAGCTACTTTAAAAAAAGATTATGATATCAAAAATGAGATAGTCGATACTATCAAATCAGTACTTAAACCAAAAATTTCAGAAAGTACTTTTCATTATAAACTGAAAAATGTGAAAATTGATTTGCCGAGGATAAATATTCCAAATGAAGTCCTATCGAAACATGAAGTTGACAAATATAGAAAATTATTTCAGCATAAACCACAGACTGCAAGAAAATCTATCAATATTAAGACTGTAAGCTACATAGAGAAGTTTACGTTGCTCCATAAGTCTGAGAAAGTTGAAGAAGAGAGTATAAAAATGTCTGCAAAAATACTCAATTTCAACTGTTTAAAATGCCGAGATAGCACTCTGTATAGCCCAAATGATTTGCAGAAACACTTTCAGATGTGGCACCATGGTGAATTACCTTCATATCCTTGTGAAATGTGCAGTTTTTCAGCAAATGATTTCCAGGTATTTAAACAACACAGACGAACCCATAGAAGCACTTTAGTAAAATGTGACATTTGTAACAATGAGAGTGTATATACTTTACTAGACTTGACAAAACATTTTGTATCCACACATTGTGTAAATGGTAGTTTTCAATGTGAAAAGTGCAAATTCTCCACCCTGGATGTTGGCACATTTGTTCAGCACATTCATAGACACAATGAAATCCATTATAAGTGTGGTAAATGCCATCATATATGTTTTACCAAAGGAGAGCTTCAGAAGCACCTTCATGTTCATTCTGGTACATTTCCCTTCACTTGTCAGTATTGTAGCTATGGTGCCACAAGGCGAGAGCACCTTGTACGACATGTTATAACTTTACACAAAGAACATTTATATGCAAAAGAGAAACTAGAAAAAGACAAATATGAAAAAAGGATGGCAAAGACTTCAGTAGGACTTAAGCTAATACTGAAAAGATACAAAATGGGTGCATCTAGGAAGACATTCTGGAAACGTAAGAAAATCAACAATGGAAGTGACCGAAGTCTAGAAAAAAACACTGAAGTGCTTAAAAATGTGAACAAAACACAGACAAAATCTGAAGACCAGAGCCATCTCATTCAGGAACATTCAAATGAAGAAAAGGATGAACAGCTACACTGTGAGAATAATGATAAACCTGCTGAGTCAGAGTCAGAAAAGCCAACTCTCCTCTCCACTGGGCAGTGTAGTAGAGCTGAAGAGGGATCACATTCTCCTGCAGCTTTCTTGAAGACTGCTGTACAAGGACCTACAGTGTTAATGGTGAAAAATAATAAAATAACAATTCCAGCTAACTACAGTGCTAAGTTTATGGGCTTCAAGATGATGGATGGAAAACAACATATTGTAATAAAACTGTTACCTACCAATAAACAGAATTTATATTCACCAGGCTCACAGTCAGATGCTGCAAAGGACAGTACTGGTAATTCGCAGTCCCAGACTTTGGACACGACTGGATTCTTAACAAGAGTAACAACTGTGTTAAGTGACACAGTTTACATGAAAGCAACTACTCCATTTTTATGTTCATCTCCTGTACTTACAGGGAAAGTAACTTCAGAAAAAGAAATGGCTTTGCTATCTCAAACAAGTAATACTCTTCAAACAGTGAATGATGAAAAAAGTGTACCTCCTTTGCCAGTATCATCAGAATTAGTTACAGGATCAGTGAATTTGACCACGAAAGTCGAAACAAGAGATAATGTTGACTTATGGGGAAGTCATATTACTCACAGTCACCCTGAGGTATCAGGTACAGCCATTAAAAGTCCAGATAAAGTCAACTATGCTACCAAACCAAATGCATTCAACAGTGGAGATATGCATAACTATTGCATTAATTATGTGAACTCTGAGTTACCTGTTGAATCTTCCAACCAAGGATCATTACCTTTTCATAATTACTCAAAAGTGAATAATTCTAATAAACGTCGTAGGTTTTCAGGAACAGCAATGTGTGAAAGCCCTCAAAGAGAATCTCCATCAGGTAAGACAGCTATTCAACAACCAATAAGTGAATCAGTTTTATCACTAGTGAGGAAGGAGAGCTCAAACCCAGATAGCCTGTTAGCATCTATTAGCCTTTTAAATACTAAGGATGGAACTTTAAAAACTCAAACTGAAATTGAAGACCAGTGTGTTTCAGAAAAGGGACAAAACATTGATGGACAGAACCTATACACGAATGAAAATAAAAATTTAGAGAGCATGACTGAAAATTCTAAATGGGATGGCATTTCCAATGTTGAGTCACCACTGATGCCTAGAATCACATCTGTGTTCTCTCTCCAGAGTGAACAGGCATCAGAATTTTTGCCACCTGAAGTAAACCAGTTACTTCAAGATGGATTAAAAGCAAAACCTGATGTGAAACAAGACTCTAGTAACACTCCAGATAAAGGCCTGCCACTTCATTGTGACCAGTCATTTCAGAAACATGAGGGAGAAGACAAAATTGTTGACTCTTCAAAAGACTTCAAAGTACAAGGCATCTTCCCAATTCCGTCTGGTAGTATGGGGATTAACGTGCCTGCAAATGATCTGAATTTAAAATATAGTGGAAAAGAAACACAAATGCCGTCAGTGTCACAGGACATGAGAGATTCAGAGAAGACACCTAGAATTTCAGGGATTGGCACACTACTTAAGACTCAGTCAGATGCGATAATAACACAACAGCTTGTGAAAGACAAACTACGAGCCACTACACAAAATTTAGGTTCTTTATGTATGCAGAGTCCACTTGTAAATTCAGAACCCAAAAAAGCTATATTTGTTCAGACTCCAAAAGGCTTTTTTGTACCATTCCACATTGCTAACAATCCTGGATTACATGTCGTTTCAAGAAGACCATTGGTTAATACTCAAGGTGGACCTGCTTGTCTTCTTTTAAACAAGAAACCTGGGATGATTTTAACATTTAATAATGGGAAATCTGAAAGTGTTAACACTGTCAAAACTGAGAGTGCTCAGGCTTGTGGAACTACAATTAAAGAGCCTTCAAGAACATCTCTTTTAAAGGTAGAGCAAAGCAATAATTGTCTGACACCTGCACTTTGTTCCAGTATTGGCAGTTGTTTGAGCATGAAAAGTAGCTCAGAAAGTACTTTGCCATTAAAAAGCCCTTACATTATTAAAACGTCAGCAAGTTCTTCAGTGAAAGCTGTGCCTACTCCTAATGTATCTGAGCATCAGGGCACTAAGTTAAATACCTTGGATTCAGTAAAACAGCAGAATGAGATTTTTCCAAAACCACCTCTTTATACCCTGTTGCCTGATGGCAAACAAGCTGTTTTTTTAAAGTGTGTGATGCCAAATAAGACTGAGCTGCTTAAGCCTAAATTAGTGCAAAATAGTACTTATTATCAAAATATACAGCCAAAGAAACCTGAAGGAACACCACAAAAAATACTGCTGAAAATTTTTAACCCTGTTTTAAACGTGACTGCTGCTAACATGTCAGTAAGCAACTTTGCAGCCTCATTGCAGAAAAACAATGTACCATCTAATCAGACTGCAGGAGGAGAGCAGAAAGAGCCAGGATCTTCTAGAGATGCCTTACCCTTCTTACTAGATGATATGATGCCAGCAAATGAAATTGTGATAACTTCTTCTGCAACATGCCCAGAATCTTCTGAGGAACCAATACATATCACTGACCGTTCAGAGGCCAGGGTATTGAGATGTAAGACAAATTGTAGAATTGAGAGAAACTTTAATAGAAAAAAGACTTCCAAAAGAAACTTGTCAAGAATAAAAACTCAAGTAAGAAGTAAAGATTCTGAAGCTGCCTTTGTACCTAGAAACAGAAACTGTAAACGAAAGTGTGGGGATAGTTACCAAGAACCTCCAAGAAAAAAAGCAACATTACATAGAAAGTGCAAAGAAAAGGCTAAACCTGAAGATGTCCATGAATCACTTGGATTTAGCAGACCTAGGCTTTCAAAAGATTCTGTCAGAACTTTGCGACTTTTCCCCTTTAGTTCCAAACAGCTTGTGAAATGTCCCAGGAGAAACCAACCAGTTGTGGTGTTGAATCATCCTGATGCAGATGCACCCGAAGTAATAAATGTAATGAAAACTATTTCTAAATTTAATGGACGTGTACTTAAGGTTTCATTGTCAAAAAGAACTATCAGTGCTTTACTGAAACCAGTTTGTTGTACCCCTTCTAAAACAAATTGTGACTTTTCCAGGAGGCACAAAACATTTAAACCTGTTAGTTCTGTGAAAGAAAGATTTGTGCTAAAATTAACACTCAAAAAGACAAGCAAAAACAATTATCAGATTGTGAAAACTACCTCTGAAAATGTTCTAAAGGCTAAATTTAACTGTTGGTTTTGTGGTAGAGTGTTTGACAATCAGGACGCTTGGGCTGGTCATGGGCAGAGACATTTAATGGAAGCTACTCGTGATTGGAATATGTTAGAATAATTTACTGTAATTACCAAGGAAAAGACAAAATATTAGAAGAAAACATTGAATTACCTTAATGCAGACATTTTCTACTTCAATATGTTACCTAAAATTAAACATTTAAAAGTTGGCTATATTTCCATAAGAGAAAAAGTTTCGTGTGATATTTGAAAATGCTGTCATTGTACGTATAAGTTCTGAAAGAAATTTATCACAGCACAGATAGACCTTGATTTTTTCAAAATGTGTTCTTGGGAAGTTAGGGCAAAAAAAATTTTTGAAAAAAGTTTTCCCAATTTAGTGACTCAGAGGGTAATGGCTGACAGCCCCATTCCTTCTCTTCTTCCACCAGCCTTATGAATCATAAGTATAGCTCCTCTGAAGATGGAGAGCTCTTTCACCATGGAACTGAAGGAGTTTCTCATCATTTATGAAGATATACTAAGCTTAGGTAAAAAACTTATTCTACATTTGCTAAATATAGTTCTTTTGAAGGATATAGGTTCCTTTGAGAGTACATTTAATTCACTACAGCTACACCTCAGATGCTTGAAAAAAGTTTTTGAAAAGTAAATTTTTTTTCCTCATAAGCTATGTCCCACATCAGAGATTGGAACACCCTCCCAAGGTGATTTTGGTTTTCTAAATGGCTATGCCAAGGATTGCAAGAGATGGGCAGCCACAACAGAAGCACTAAACTCTTCATCTAAGTTGAAGTCCAGTTAAAGAACCTGACATTTTTGAATTTGGTGACTCTCCAGTGATGCCCTTGCATAGAACTATGCTTGTTTGGTTTAAATTGTTTGTTCTTCATAAACCAAATAGCCAATTTTTCTTGGTTGCCACCCTTTAAAAAGAGTGGAATGTAGAAGCACTTCCAGGGGAATGGCTTTTCTCAAAAACTAAAAATTATGGAAGCAAGATGAGCAAAGCAAATCATATTTTTGTCTGTGTTTAATTACTGTTAGTGTGTGAACATGTCTACATTGGGATAAACCATTTTTGTTAGCAACTTTACAGTATGACTGACAACCCAAAGCAGATTATTTACTGTTTGTTGGCAGTTGAAAGTAAAGAAACATTAATAGTAGACTCTGGCAGCGCATGAAACTTCAGGACAGATTCCTAAGGGACATTCTCAACAGAGGAATAGTTTTAAAATGGATGTTTTCATGATGACAGAATCATTAATGTAAATTTTTCACCTTGTGAGTTTGGATCAAATTTTGTTGGATCATTGGATAATGGATTTCTTATATTGCAAAATTGCATACTATATTTTTTGTCACGTTACTACAAGTGTTAAGATATTTTCATTGAAAACTTCAGGGCTTCTTTTCTGTATATAACAAAGAATTTAAAACTGTACATATTTTTGTACCTTTTCAGTTATGTAAATTTTGCACAGAAAGTTTTTGACATAAAAAGTTTATTTTTTTTTTTTCAGTTCTGTGCATGCACTAATAAAACTGGTTGTTTAATTTAAAAGGAATATGTACGACTTTACCCATGTTATTTTCCTGGTTTTTATTTCAGATGTAGAATTTTTTTGGAGGGGGTAAATTCATTTTTCAGGGATTGAACACTATTGTTAGCAAAGTGCCTAAAAGATGTGAAACAGTTTACATATGTCAACTGTAACAGTAGGTCCCAAATGGGCCCATTCCCCCAATAGTTTTATTTTAAAGAAAGCCATACATAGATGCTTCAAGCTATCTTGCTATGCACATTATACATGTACTGTTTTTGTGCAGTTTGTCTACTTTCTTAGTGAAGTATTTTTTTGTATAAAACCTTTTAAAATTGTGTTTAAATTGAGCCTAAGAATGGAGTTGATTGGAAATATACAGTATATATTAATAATGTATATTGGTGTTTAAAGAATGGTAAGCATTGTTAATTTCTGTAATGAACATTTTCAATTAAATTTATCTTGTTTGTGTTTACACATAATTTTTTTTTACTGTGGTAAAATCGAATGGGAATTTTATTCTAATGAGAAATATTTAGATTCCAAAGTTCTTTTCTTCTAGTGAACTATGCAAAATAAAGTGGGAATTTTTTGCCCCCAAAATCACAGGTGAAATTTTGAAATTTTGTTTGAGAAGAGTAACATTTACTACAATTTTACTATGGTTGTGCTGGTAAGGAAACCCATAGAGAGGCTTTTGCTCTTCAGTATCCTAACAACAATAAAATTGAAATGCTCTGTTATGGATAGATCTATTACAGTGCATCACCTTCTATAAATAGAGAAGAGACAAAGAACCATCTTGCCAGTGTTTGCAGCACTATACAAATACATTTCAAAACAGCAGTACCAGTAAAAAAATATTTTGAGATACATGCCTTTTGTCTTAAAGTTTTAAAAGGCATTTCAAAACATCATGCCTCAGATACTCTAGTTAGTACTTTTTCTGACTTTGTTAGGTTAACAAAGGAGGCAAACCTGCTTGGAGCTGCTTTATTGCCAGAGCAGAAAATCTGAAAACAAAACCCTTTATCCTTTTTTTTCTCTCTCAGCTGAAAGTGAGCTAAAGGTTGCTTTCCAAAATATATTCAGTAGTTTGAGGCACTTTTTACAACTGGAAGAGTTTTATTTGTACAATTCAACTTCCGGGTCAAGAATTGGTTTCATTTTTCCATTGTCCATCTCCGTTAACATGGGCCTCATTATTTGGCATTCACTTAAAAATTAGTTTAATCGTTAAAGCGTTTACCTTTCTATTTTAATAAGCAATAGTACAGGTTGAAATTAAATAGTTTTTGTGAAAAGTTTTGTTAAGGGGTCATTGAAGTTTTTAGTAAAGTGTCAGTAAATAACTTAGGCTTTGTAGGCCATTTAAGTCTGTCATAACTACTCAACTGTCGTAATGCAGAAATAGCCATAGACAATACACTAATGAATGAGTGGCTGTGTTTTTGAAAAAAACCTTCATTTTTAAAAATAGGCATTGGGCCAAATTTAGCCCACCAAATAGTTGTATCAACCTTTGCTATCAAAATTCTGCTTTTAAAGTGGGAGTTTTATTAACAAGTTTGATAGTTTCTTATGATGTACACCAGCTGCATAAAGTCACAAAGTGTACTTTGTAACTAAAATGTATGTATGTAAAGTTGCCAAAGTAGTGTTTATTTAAAAGTGAAGAGCATGTAAATTGTAGTGAAAATGATGACTGAGTAAAGTAGATAGGTCATTTGGGTAATGGAGGGTAATGCAGCTTGTAGAGGACATCGCTGTGAGAATTTATGTTCAGGTTAGATGAGAAATAGATACTAGTTCTTTTAGTGATTTGAAATAGCTGTTAAGAAAACATAATAGAAATTCTTGGGATGGGAGAGAATGGAGGTGAGCTGAAAACAATATTGTATTAATTCTATACAGCTAATTCCTTTTTTTTTTTTTTTTTAAGTAAGCAATTCCTTTTCACCACTGACACCTGCTTACCTCTTAACTTGGGATATGCCCCATTTGTGTTGGGGTATTGGCTTTGTATTTTGCCTTAGCCATTTGTTAGGGTCCTTGTTTTCACAAAGTTCTTGACTGTTGAGGATCTCATCTGGTGAGACATTATTTGTTGCTAGTTAGGAGGGTGGCATTAGCAGAAAACTTTACCTATAATGGAGAGTTGAAATAGGATCAGCTTAGTTGATTTTGGTGTTCATCTATTCAAGTATCCTTCCCTTAATAACTGGACAATTGAGAAGTAGTATCTTGGAAGAGATGTTAGACAGTCTTTGAATTATTTTTTGACTAATTCTGTCTAAAAGTGCTTCTGTTAATAAATACCCCCACTTTAAGAATATTTAAAAAATACATGCCATTATTATGACAGTGTAAACTTGAGTTAATAGTGTAGTGTAGGAAGAATGTAATGTAAATCAATTTAAAAAATCATGATTTTAGTCAATACCAAGAATATACTTAGAGAAAAATACTCGTTCTTAGTAAAGACAGTTATAATATGTTAAAAGAAGAATTCTTCTTTAATACTTTTTAGAGTCAACCAAAATTGAGGTTATGTTCAGGTTGCAACTCGAATTGTTTCTTTCAATTAAGGAGTGAAACATAGATACCTGTTATCAATTATTTCATGATAATATAAAAGGATAGGAAAGCAAAATGAAAAACTTGGAGAGAACAAAATACCATTTGCAAATGACTTGATTTCAATGTTGTAAAAATCTGAAGTGATACACTGAAAATTAGCTTGTCCTGAACATGTAACGGTAATTATTTAGGAAACAAAAAGACCCATTTATAATAAGAGTCAGAATAATAAAAGTTTGAAGATGCCCAAAGCAACCCACAAAACCTAACTGGGAAGTATACAGTATTTCTGGGTGTCAGGTTAAATAAACCCGTTTGGTAGGTCTCATTTTCCACACCTGCGTCCCACAGAAGGCTTATATCAAGTGGGTGGTGGAAGCTGGTTAGTAGTGATCATTCCCTCACTCCCAACTCCTGCAATATGGAGAGAATCAGGGCAGGGCAGGGCAGGGCAGGGCAGCTACTGAATGGCCCCTTTCCCACACACCTCTGTTGTAAGAGATCTGCCCTGGTGGGTGTGGCAGCAAAGTAGCAGCTTGCATTTCTCCCCAGCTTTCTGGGGGCAGAAGTGGTATTCTGTGTATATTTAGCAGCTGGTGAAACTGGTATATCCATCCTCCCTGGTTCTGGGATATAGATCCATACTGGAAGGTGGCAGGAGATTCTCCCTCGTGCCTACCCCCAACCTCCAACACAGCTGTTCTGCAGGGAGGATCCCAGGATACATTCAGTGAAGTGCTAGTGTCCCAACACCCCACGCTCAACGTACTCCATAGCACAAAGGCATAGCGGTTCTGTTCAGGGGATGGTTGGAGTGAGCTTCAAAGACTTGAAAACACACTGCCTATTACAAGAGGACTGACTATGTGGTACAGACTGGAGCAGTTTATATCCCAGGGTATTTTGAAAACAATAGAGCAATCAGCTAAGAATTAGTGGAGGCTAATAGTTGCTGTTGATACCGATACCAGCCACAGAAATCCCTTGAGGTCGGAAAGAATGTGTGCATACTCAAGGCTGCAACCACATAGGAGCAATGAAAGGGGGAACTTCTGAGCTACAAGTCCCTGGCTGAATGTAGGGCAAAACTTGTAAACTGTAGATAGTGAAAACAGTCTCCAAGCCATACATAGATCCAGTGGTAAACGGTATAAATCTCTGATTCAGAGTGCTTAAACACACCTATGGTGCTGATCACTAAATGGTGCTGACTCAGAAACAACCCCTAGGAAGTCAGATTTAATAACAATAGGGAAACAAGTTGAACAGTAATATCAGAGGTTGCACACTGTGAGGGTAGACTTGAAGGATAGGTCCAACCAAGTCACTAAATAAAAAGTCCAGAGTTAGGGAGGAGGACCAGTATGCAGAGATCCTACAAAATGTTACCTAAAGTGGCCAATTTTCATCACAAAATTATGAGACATTCAAAAAAAAAAGTAAAGTGTGACACGGGAAAATGCAGGTAATAGGAACTTCCTTTGAGGGGTACTAGATGTAGGTTAAATGTTAAGCAACTATTATAAATCTGTTTGTTGAAAAGACCTAAAGGAAAGTATACTGACAATGTCTCATCATATAGGAAATATAAATTTAAAAAATTATCAAGAAAGAACTAAAGAAAATTCTGGAGGTGAAATGTACAATAACTAAAGCAAAAATTTACTATAGTGGCTCAACAGTAGATTTAAACTGGTAGAGGAATCAGCAAACCTAAGGATAAGTTGGTAGAGAATATGAAATCTGAAGCACAGACAGACAAAAGAATGAAGAAAAACAGTCTTTCCTTACACTATATACATAAAAAATTGACTTAAAATGGATCATAAAAAAGTTAGCAAAAACTATGAAATTTGTAGAAGAATCATGGAAGTAATTAGTTGTGACCTTTCTTTAGGGAAAACCTTAGATATGACACCAAAATTACAAATGAAAAAATTAAAAATAGACAAGAAAGGATACATAGAATTTTTAGTAGAACAAATTGTAGAGCTAATCTATTTCATCTAGTTTGGATCAATATCAATTTAAATAATAAACAAAAACTTTGCCTTATATAGCTTCATTCCCTCCCCTCCGCTGTTATTGTCACAAATTATATCTTTAAAAATTGTGTTCCCATCAACATAGATTTATAATTATTGCTTTATGTATTTGCTTTTTAAATTATGAGGGGGAAGTTACAGATAAAGAATTCATTTTACTTTGTCTTTTATATTTACCTTTGCTGGAGTTTATATTTACCTTTATTAGTTCTATATTGCTTTGTGTGGATTTTAGTTACTGTCTAGTGTCCTTTCATCCTGAAGCACTCCCTGTAGCTTTTTTTTTTTTTTTTTTTGGTAGGACAGGTCTGCTAGCAATGAGAATTATCCAGGAATGTCTTCATTTTCCCTTCCTTTTTGAAGGATAGTTTTCCTGAATATAGAATTCTTGATTGGCTTCTTTTTTTTTTTAATTTTTTTTTACCCATTCAGCACTTTGACGGTATCATCTGGCCTCCATGGTTTCTGATGAGAAATCAGCTAGCTGTTAATATTATTGAGGTCCCCTGGTATGTAGTGAGTCACTCTCTCGCTACTTTCAGGATTCTCTCTTTGTCTTTCAACTATTTGATTATGGTATGTCAGGTGTGCTTATCTTTGATTTTTTCCTACTTGGTAGATACTTCCTAGAGCTTTGTGAGTTGGTAGATAAATGTTTTTCACCAAATTTGGGGAGTTTTTGGTTATTATTTCTTCAAATATTCTCTCCGATGCCTTTTTTTCTTCTCTCCTTCTGGCACTCATATTATGTTTATGCTGTAATGCTTGTCCCACAGGTCTCTGAGTCTCTGTTCATTTCTCTTCATTTTTGTTTTGTTCTATTTTTCTTTCTTTTTCTCAAACGGGACAATGTCAATTAACCTATCTTTAAGTTTATGGATTTTTTCTCTTGATTAAATCTGTCGCTGAGCCCCTCTGGGGAATTTTTCACTTCAGTTATTGTACTTTTTAACTGTGTAATAGAAAGTTCTAGAATTA